TCTATCTATCTATCTATCTATCTATCTATCTATCTATCTATCTATCTATCTATCTATCTATCTATCTATCTATCTCATTTCTATGCATAGAGTTATAGTCTTTTTCCAAGTTGTTTTCATTCGTTCATCCTTTATTTATTTATTGGTATCTTTTTTTTCTGAGCGGCTGTGAATAATCTAGTAATCATTGTGTCCCATCTATGTAGTGTGGTTCTACTCCAGCCAGGATGATCTTCTGCCTCAAACTCTTTTCCTTTTTCATCCCTGAAGGATTATTTAAACCTTTTTCCTGTAGTCCTGCCGGTTGCCATGGATACGCGTCGTCTCGTCGGCCGGCCCTTGTTGTGACGTCATTGCAAACGTGTAATTCCCGTAGAGTCCGCAGGGGGCAGCAGAGGGCGGCCTGGCGGGAAACCTGAGCAGAAGAAGGAGGCAGAGGGAGGCCTTCTTCTGCTTCTGCTTCTGGTTCTGGTTCCGGTTCTGGTTCTGGTTCCATCAGGTTCTTCAGCTCCGCAGTTTGATGGATTCATCTTCTAGGTCTATGATTTAACTTCCGGATGTGACGTCACCCCGTTAAGGCGGCCGCGCGACTCTCAGGTAGGTTAGCTGGTTGGAGCTTTAGCTGCAGCTAGCATAGAGCTAACTGCTGATGGAGCAGCTGGACCGGTACCGCTGGCTTTACGGTCCGGTTCGGTACCGCTGGCTTTACGGTCCGGTTCGGTTCGGTACCGCTGGCTTTACGGTCCGGTTCGGTTCGCTCCCGCTGGCTTTACGGTCCGGTTCGAACAGAACCTGGTTCCGGTCCAAAGGGAACCGAAGCAGCTGCCAGGGCCGGAACCAGGATTTCTGAAATACGGGCTGAAATATTGCGATAAACAAAAACATCCCAATATGGCGACTGTTAAAATATATTTTGGAAACTTGAATAAAGAGTTAAATCTAAAACTCATCAATGAGTGAATATGAACATTTTTATTAGAACGATTTTAAAACTCATCAAACTAGAGTGAATGAATGAGCTTAGTGTTCTCAGTGCTGGTTCCTCCCTGATAGAACCTGCTGGTTCCTCCCTGATAGAACCTGCTGGTTCCTCCCTG